AGAGATTGGGTCAGAATCGTAGCATTATAGAAAGATGGAAAAAGTCAAGCGAATGTGGCCATGTTGCTTAACATTCCTAGCCCGAGCATCTTCCATCGTTACCAAGATACTGGGTGGCTACTCAAGAAGGCATAAATCAATTTATTGTTTCAATCAAGCAACGACTTCAACAAGTTAGAAAAATTCAGTCGCAATGTATGGGGAAGACTTCCAGCTTCTGAAAGTCTTCCCCATACATTGCGACTGACATTTTCTAACTTGTTGAAGCCGTTGCTTAATTGAAACAATAACCTGATCTATGCCTTTAAGTGCGAGAAGGCCTGCAACCGGTCAAGGCATCTAACTGCTCGGTTAAGTTTGGCAAGAAATCACCAATCCAATATATAAAGCGTCCGATATCAAATTTAGAAATCGAATACAGTTATTTGTGTAAACGTCATTAGTAGCAAATGAACCCCATCGTCGATTTTCTAAAACCTTCACCCGAGTAATGATTGTGTCAATTATGTTTTCGTTTATTACATTTAATAGTCTGTTTGCATAATTGCTCGACTGAGACAACGAGAGAAAGCGAGCGAACGTACCGAAACGGACGTCTTTGACACGGAAACCATACTTCTGCTTAAATTATTCTATATTTTTAATCCGACTCGTAACATTTTTATATAAATATTGACTTTGTGTAAACGTTTTATCTAGGTAATCTGGTCTGCTTATCCCAGCTGTTTTGGTCTTCTGACACGTTTTGGTACTGTTGTGTTTTCTAATCAATTCTAACTTCTATTACTTCTGTTCGTTTTTTTATGTATATTATTAATATTTATACTTATAGTGAGATTTCATGACAAGTCGGCGTCTGATAAACCTCCGAGGACAGGTAGACCAAAATGAACTGAAACGGACAAACTACAGGATCTAGATAGTTTCAATCTATTATTATTTTTTCTACTCCATTAATTCATGATTTTAAGAAATAGACCAACCCTGCCATCGAGTTGGGGGCATCATCGCATCATACCATGAGAAGAAGGAATGCTGCTCGCGGAGGGGAGTCTTCCTCGATTTCGAACGGAGCTTTAATCGAGTACCTGGGTTTGCTCTGGAAAGTCTATCCTACCCTTTAAACAATTCCTCATTCTGAAATCCTACTTGGCCGACGGATAATTCGTTCAAGCCCGAAGCGAATGTTAATAAATATTGTTCATATACCATCCCGTCCCGACTCCTCTATACGCTGATGACATTACCAAATTCCGACACCGTTATAGCTCACCGAACCCTCCAAACTAATTCTGTTGACCAATGGTTCAAAAAATCTAGCTCAACACCACAAAATCTCAAAACATAACCTACTTCATTCTATTATAACCACACCCTAGAGCTGTATATACACAAGTTAGTGGCCTGGAATCTCCAACAGAACTTAAAAGAATGAGCTGAATCGACGATACTGTTTATCTAAATACTCCTTGACAACAGATCTAAATCTTTCCTCGACAACAAAATACTCATACCCTCATTTGGAGTCAAAGGGTAGCACTTCATGCCAATCTGGTTCTGCAATTAGTGCCAATCTCTGCTAACGGAATTCCTGGACGATTTTCGTATCTTTTATTGAGTTAAGTATCCCCTTCAAAAGAATGGTACCAATGTAAGTATATAGCTCAAGAAAGGTTTATCCAGGTACCATAACCTTTTTTTAGATATTGCAAGGCAGTTGCATAGGATATGCTCAGTTATCTCTGTCTCATCTAGACATAATGGGCATCGGTTATCTGATGATAGCCCCATTTTTAAGGTGGTACTTACCTGAAGCATGTCCAGTAAATATACGAGTGTTTTTAATTATTTTCTGTTGAGATGGATTTCTTCTTTTTCTCATATGGGTTTGTTTTTGAGAGTAGTCTCTTTTCTGCCTCAACCCTGGTATACGTTCGCGGTATTTGTTGCGTTTTTTAGTTACCCAAGCTTTCAGTTTTTTCAAGTGTGATTTGAGCACTTTTTAGCAAGTGTATCTGCTGCTTCGTTGCCTGTAATTCCCTCGTGACCTGGGGCCCACATTAGCATTAGACTATTTGTAGATCTCGGGTTTAGGATAGCTAGGCAGTTCTAGATAAGTTTTAAGCAGATCTTGCAGGCTTGGCGAGCTTTTAGGTTGACCTTTTAAAGTATTATTGCACCCTTAAGATGTTTATTATTTTTTTCATGTGCACATGTTTCTATTGCTTGCAGTTCGACTTGAAAGTCGGTTGCTGTGGCCGAGGGTCATCTGGTGCTCGAAGTTAAGCGAAATACTCTTATATTCAAACAGAAACCAATATGGACTTACATAGAATTATAGGGTTCCAAACCTACCAATCTCCGCAGAATCCAGACACTACAATCTATCCAACTAAATGTTTCTTTTTATAAAGGAAGTTACAAGATCCAGGCTACAAAACATTCCATATTAACCTCCAATCCCACTCAATCTCCAGGTGCGACAACTGTACACTCAATTTTTTCCCAATAATCCTCGACGTCTAAGAAAACAGTGGCACATGGGAGTAGGTTGTGCTTTTTACGACCCCAAAGCAAATCTGAAACCAATGTTTCGACTGCCAGATAATCTGTCAATGAACTCTGCAGAATTGGTCGCAATATTAAAGGCACTAGAATATGCGAAACAAAAACAAATTGCTCAGATAGTGAGAGCGTAGTGAAAAAACTAAAAGGGAATGAGAAGGGTTTTATCACGGAGCATTTACTAATGAGAATTCTCCAGAGTATCCAAGAAATACAGTCGGATGGGCGGGAAGTTTCATTAGTGTGGATACAAGCGCAAGAGGGGATAAAAGGTAATAAAATAGCTGAAAAATTAGCCAAAAAAGCAACGGAGTCTGGACTCACATTGGCCATACCAGTTCCAAAAAAAGACATAAAAAGATCCCTACATTTGACTCTTCTCGTGGACTGGCATTGACGTATTCGTCCGCAGAAGCAGGCCAATTTTTCAAGAGAATTTTCCCCTTAGTAGGACGAGAGCCTTGGTACCGTGGAAATTACTACGACAGGGCGCAGACCACGACCATAAATAGACTGCTGACGAATCATGGGCTATGTGGCAACTATCTCAATAAGATAAGGAAAAAGGATTCACCTCAATGCCAAGTGTGCGGTTGCGTTGAAAATCTCCAGCACATCATAATGAGATGTAAAAGATACAAAGAAGAAAGAAGTAGCATCTTGGGAGAAGTTATTAACTACGAAATTCTTCTTTCCTCATTCACCAAAACGACATACAATAAACTGTATGAATTCTTGTGCAGTGCAAAAATAAAAATATAACAAGGGAAAATAAGTTTTGTACATAAAGTTAACGATGTAATAATTATTTTGTTCATAAATGGTTGTATATATTAATTATACCAAATAAAAATAAAAAATTAAAAAAACAGTGGCACATGTGACCTGATCTCAGAGAGTGATGAAAAATCAATCTGGATAAATTCTCCACTCGATCTTTTGTTATTGTATCTCTATGTGTCATGTCATCTATGTAACGCATCTATGCAAAAAAGTATGATAGGTGAACCACAATGGTCAGAAACGACCAGATTACAGTTTCATCAACTTGCAGAAATCATGAAGAAATCGTTATATTTATTTAGATGCCTCGTGTAGGAGGTTTTATTTGAACAAAATTGATTCCTGTTAATTAATTAATTAAAGTATTTATTAAGTACATAGTACATATTATATAATAGGTTAAAGAAAATTTCCGTAGTTGTAAACCATTAGGGGAGTCTTCATTTACTTTAAATTTAGATCTGTTAGAAAATTTTAACTTATATATTAACATATATTATTACTGATCTCCCAAATAACAAAAAATTGTTTCTTTTGTCTATAGTCAGACGAGTTGCGATCTCAATAGATATGCTTATTTACAGTAATTAATCAATAACGAACAGTTTTTTCCGTTGAAACACACAGACATTTTTTCTCCAGTAAGCTGATCTGAACCTAGCCACCTTACCATTATTTCTAAGAACCTAAGAAGTATGGTGACAAAATGGTATACGTCTTTCATAAACAAACTCCTAGAATTTAGAGTAAAACTACTGCAGTAATATTTATCTGGATCAAAATCAAAACTTAATTCTTTATAAAACAGATATTTTTTCATTTGACTGAATATCAATTTTTCGTTAATTTTTTTTTATCTAAGGTCTTGGCCGAGATGAAAAAGCTAGTGTCACGAGCGGGATTTGAACCCACGACCTTCGGCTCAATACGCTGCTGCTCTAACCACTTGAGCTATCGTCCTATTAAGACCTATTAATCTCAACCAAGACCATAGATAAAAAGGCTAATTAATTAAAATAATTAATGTGGTCAATTTTGACCGCTAAACATATATGGATTATTTAATTTTTAGGTCTTGTTTGTACTTCGTAAAAATACCAAATAATTTATTAAACATTTTGGCCGATGATTCACATGATCAAAATTTAAGTCTATATCTATAGTCATGCTCAATTTACTCCTTGGAGCAGGAGAATTCTTGTTAAAAATTTATTGTGCAAATATTTAACAAAATCTATTTGAAGACTGATTTCAAACGTATTTCATACATAATTTTGATGTAAGGTGGGAGTGTGTGTCTGGTTTCCATGATCGTTAATTACTTCAGGATGTCCTCAGCAGATAGAAAAAAGTCCAAAGATGTCCGCACTAACGATCCTTATCGTTGATAAACTGATAAATCTGATATCGAGCCGCCAGCCTGCTTCTTCGTGCGTTGAAGTCTCTCGGAAAGTGCTTCGCCTCTTTTGACTCGCCGTGCTCCAAATCATCCCGCATCCTTCTGGCTTGTACGCAGGAGCCGGAGGAGGTTCTTGGCACCTAAGATATAATATCCAAGGAGCTGATGACATATTTCAGAATTTGGAGTGGGAGGCTTGCCGCGTTTGCCCCTCTCCCATTCTTAAGCTAACTGGTTTGACGGCACTGTTCCGCTAACCTCGGTGAGTTCCTCTCGCTCTTTGTGTCTTCCTCCAGTTCCAACTTGTACGTATCATTTAACATTTCGACCCGCCACGGATTAATCTAACGACTCCTAACAGCATGGCAGTGAGTAACATTCTTCCACCCATTAATAACGCCAAATCAGTTTTATCTTACGTTAATCGGAATTATCGAAATGAGTTTTTTTTCTTGTAAACACAAAAAAATATGCAAAAGGTTGAACAATTTTGCATATAAATTATTTGCAAGGCTTGTAAAAGAAACACGAGAGTCTTCTTTATAATCGAACACCACAAGTCCCAAACTACTTCAGGAGGAATATTTTGCATTTTATATAGCTTTTCTTAACCAGTGCATCTTTTACACAAACAATATTCATCATATGATGTATAACGAATAAATAATGAATTTTTAAAGCTGATTTAACTANATTATATGCAGACAAAAAAATGGATATTTTCAAGCAATGATGAGCAAGAAGCAACTCCCTTGCATAATTCTGTATTATTTTATTAACCTGCGATGTTATTCCGAGCCGGTCTCATAAAATATCTTGATTTACATACCTACCCTTTTTGTATTTCCCCCCGGTCTGATTTAATGAAGTACAAAAATAAACATTTGTTTATAATATTAAACTTATCTTAAAAAATTTATGTATGCTAGATGCTTGATGTTTCTACGAAAAATTACAACTTTTTCACGTCGTACGGTCGATGCTCATGATGCGGGTCGGTCTCGCTCTATGTGCTACACATACAAAAAATGTTGACATACGAGTGAACCGGAAGGAAACAAACAACGGTTTTTTCACTATATAGACATTGAAAATTTTAACTTCGTACATTTGCCATTTCGCGAAAGTCCATATAAGATTTTTGAAATTTCCTAATAGTTCTTGCCATCGTCAAATCGAGGCTTTACGTCCTTTTTGGTCTTGCTTTTCCTGCTTATCCGATGTGCACGCTACGCGCGAAAAGTGTAGTGGAAACACTTCAGGATAAACACACGTGTACCGGCGATGTTACGTAAATGTCGCCAAGTCGAATTCTCGCCCTCGTGTTTTTTCTTTTCGTCGTTTGTCGAATACCGGTTTGGCCGGCGAAACGGCGACCTTTTAACCCACTCAGCCGAGTATCTTCCGACCTCAAACATACGTACGGTATCTTAAGAACACAACACGTTTTCGAGCAGGTTTGATTGTTTAATTGTCGTGCGATCCATCCAAACTCAAGAGTTTCATCGTTTAAATGTAGAGATGCAGATTGTTTTAAGTCGAACTGGATAAAACAAATAAGACATGCCTTCTTGGTGCAGTCAATGCAGCAAGGAAATACAAGTAATAGACAGAAGTAGTTAATTTTTGATTAATTGACCTAGAACATTTTAATTCCCGATAACATTTGAAGTTTATTCTAGATTTATCATTGTGAAACATAACCATTTTCTACTGTGGTACAATCAAAATGACAACCGGCTCATTTCCCAAATTCTATCTAAATTAGAAAAACTCAGATATAAAGGTAAATTCTGGATCCTGCAGGAGAATAATTAACTTCAACTTTCTTTTTATCATTTTTGTTTTATTTATGAGATTGTAATCGAGTTATTTAAAATTCGCATTCCCATTACATACATTGGCCAAATTACAATGATATATTTTTCTTTTCGCGGAAAAGGGGTAAACGTCCGATCTCTTTGCAACGTGAGCGTCGTCCTGGAGAAACAAAGACACTTTTGAACAAAGAAAGACAATCATCATCCATCAAGTCGTGGGTACCGGAAAACATGTTTTTGTCTTTTCTTTTTGTAATTTTATAGATTCAGACGTTGCTTAAAAGTCGGTGGATGAAACATAAATGAACAAAGAATTTTCGGTGAAATATATTTTTTCTAACTAACTTTGGTTATTTATTTTTAAAACAGAAAAAGAGATTGCTGCTGTTCATGTTTAACTAAATATGATAGCTTATTTTAAAGAAAGCAAACAAGCAAACACAAAGAGAAACTGTTTGCTTAAAAACTCCGACGTATTTGTTTTCACTTTTTGTTTATCCATTTCAGTTGTTTTCCAGTCAGAAATTATTCATAGTTGATGATTGAAACATTTTGACCATATTTGACTTTCATAATTAAAACTTGAACTGGAAAAGGTGTCCGAACATGAGAAAGCGGGCCTGAGATGATCAGACTGCCGCCTCCAATCTCTTGGGGGTCACAGCTGCAAAACAAAAATCGTCCTTTACGTATTATTTATTTCTGCTTACGCCTTAATTTTTCTCTATTATTTATTATTACTCTGTTATGCTAATTAAGGCATACATAAGAGGTTGGTATCGTAATACAATATTAATACACTTAAAGCAAGAATTAAACGAGCATACACTTAACACGTTAAGCAGAATTAGCTACTACACTATCACTAATGTCAGCAATTCGTTAAGTACTAAGGAGCGAACAGGAATGAAGTATTTTAGATAAACACCATTTTCATTTAGAAATGTGTGCTGTTTAGTGACCGTTAGTTAATGATTATTTGGAGATCCTAACTGCTGAAAAATGTTTGTTTAGTCATTTAAACTATAATTATGATGTTTTATACTTGCGTTAATTATAACGAGGCTCAGATGCGATCCAAAAATGTAGAATCAGACAAACGATCTTGGCTCAATCAAAGTTGAGCCAAGTGGTATAATACCCTCAAATTAGGGATATAATGACACATCTACTGTCGGAATATTACAATCCGAATTCTGTCTACAAGGATGTATTTTTAGAAATATAAATTCTCGTCGGTGGCCTGGATCTAAGTATACCTCGGTTCTTGGATTGTCGGGAAAAGCGGAAAATCCGTCGAGAGTTTTAATCGGGAAATTGTCGTTTCGCTTCGGAAGATTGAAAATCGTTTAGCCCACACCTCAAACACCCGATTAAACATCACGCTCGGCCATCCTCGTGTTTCAAGATGTTAAAGTCCCTAAATAAAAAGCAAATATAGACCGATACGCTAAAGTTGCGAAGTTTTAACGGCAAGGTCCGAACTTCGGAATGAACATTTTTGGCAATATCGTCCAAACAATCATGAAAATCACTTTTCCAACTATTAACATCATTTATTGAAGTCTTCCTTGAACTTTGCCGAAGAAATTACCAATGGCTCGGTTTGTTACAAATTGGAACTTACGACATCCTACTAGGCAGATAAGCTCTTATAAGAGCAATGAAATCAAATAATTTTTTAAAATGTACGTAAATGGTAAATTCCAGATTGGATCAACCATTATTCGCAACAGAGAATAAAACATAGTTAAAAATGTACTTGCCAACATGCCACGGTTAGTAAATTGATTCTCAATATTGCACAGACGTATTTGACTTTACACCACAGAAAGTTTAATTTTATCTTCTCGATTCTTTCTTTTATCTTCTCCTTGTCACTTCCTTGATATTTGTTCATATATTTTTATTGTTTAATTAAATTTTTATCATTCCTTCTCACTTCCTTTATATTTGTTTACACATTTCTGTTGTTTAATTGTATAATTAAATTTTTATCATTCCTTCTCACTTCCTTTACATTTGGTTATACATTTGTGTTGTTTAATTGTTTAAATAAGACATTTATTTTAGTGGTCTAATTGACCATATTAATTATTTGAATTAATTAATCTTTTATGTAAGATCTTGGTTGAGATGAAAAAGTTAGTGTCCCGAGCGGGTTTCGAACCCAAGACTTTCGGCTAAGGACCCACCGCTTCGAGGGTTCGAATCCCGCTTGGGACACTAAGTTTTTTATCTCAACCAAGAACTTACATAAAAACAATAATTAATCGAAAGAAGTAATTTGGTAAATCAGACCGCTAAACATAATGGGATTAACCCCCCCCCCCAAAAAAAAAAAAAAAAAAAAATTGTACAAGTTTAGTTGAAAATAGAAATACATAAAAACAAAAAAGGAAAAAACCAGCTATTCGTCCTAGAAAAAATCGCTACGCTCTTGAAAGACTTTCCGAAATAATACACTTATTAGCAGATCCCTGGCTATTATAGTAGTCACGAATTGGCACACTTCCTTCACTCTTGAGTTTAACACACTCGAAACGTTTAGCAGAATTAGCTAGTGAAGAGTTTATCGCTTTTCTTAAAAGTTGTGTTTTTTTCAGTTTTCGAACACTATTCTCCAAAACCCTTAGTTATATTGAAACGATTCTTTGTTAATTTTATAGGAAAAAATGGGCAACCAATTGTGAGGGAGGAATTGTTTTAAAACACGCCCAGTAGAGTAGAAAGAAGTATTTATCTAAGAAAAAATTGTGTCAATTTTTTTTTCAACTTTAGGTTTTAGCAGGACAAAACCCAGTCACTATTTATAAAAAAATCCACTTGCTACATATTCGAGGGATACTGGAGGAAATAAAAAACATATTGGCTGCACTAGACTAAATAGATTTTGAGAAAATGGTACCGAAATATGGCAACTTTTTGGTATCTGAACAAACATAACTTTGAAAAAACATTGAAATACAGTCAAATTTTAGTGTTTCTGCTTAATCAGAATGTCCAGACACTTTAAAAGGAAATTCGTATCAAATTTAAAATCCATCTTGTATAAAATGATTTAACAGAAAGGAAAAATTCAGTTCGTTCGCTAAGTCTTAAGGGAAAGAGTCTCATCATGATTCTCAAGCAAGTTTTATAGCCCTATTAATACAATTTATTAATCATACTCTGTAAAAGGTTTGCTAATCCGATCGAATTGTCAGAAAAGAAGTCGCTGACCCATTACTTTCTTGAGTACTAAGTGGGAAGGTCCAGTTTTTCTCTTTGGGAGTGGTTCCTCTTTATAGTCGTGACTGTTTTCTAATAATGAGCTTTTTAAAATATTTTAAATATAGTTAGTAGCTCATTTCGTTAAACAGTTGACAACATAAATAATCTTTTCATCAGATATCGCCTGCACGCTTTGCAATTATTTTAAGAAACCATCAAGTTAACGGGGCGGGGGCGGAAAGAGACCCACCCAGTTCGAATAATTTCTAACATCCAGTTCAATGGCTTTTATTTCTCTTGGACGGTGTTCCCATTTAAAAGCATTGTTTGAGTTT